TTTTGCCTAGATAATATTAAGTTAGCTGTAATCTGTGACTTTATTTGTTTGGTACATACCTCTGTCTTAACAATTATATAAGAATTAAAGGAACTATTCTATCTTTATAAATCATAAACGTACAGTCATCACCGCAAACTTTCGTATTTATAAAATTTCTAACTTTATTTAGGCACTGTTTACTTACGTAGTCAGACATCTAGGTGCATCCTAGGCATCTGTCTAGTTTAATAATTCATATTAAAATTAAATTCATATTAAAAAATCACCCCTTTATTCGTAAAAACATCAAACGTCTTATAAACCTATTTCAACTAATGAAGTATATTATTTCTTTTTTGCGCCAAATTCTCAATTTGAAAGTCAACGACAAAGTACTTCAATAGCTAGAATAGGTTTGTTTGTTTCTGTTTTTATTAATAAGAGAGTAAATTATAAATTTTATTTATTTAATTCTTTATTGCACCAACACCATAAAAATATACAATGACAATTAGAAAATTCAAGTGAAATACAGTACCATAAAGTACAGATTAAAATATATACATACATTAAGATACAAAAGGTGTTTTTAACGCTAGGGCAATCTCTTACAAACAACCTTTGGTTAATTGAGAATAGATAAAAGTGGGTAGGTAGTGCAAGAGTGAATTAATATTTTTTTGGAACAATATCAAATATATTTTAAACTTTTATTGCAATATTAAATATTCTTCATTGTACTTAAACTTACTGTAATAAAAACAATTGGAAACGATGTGAGCAAAGTCGAACTTATCTATCAAAGAGTCAACACATAGATAACGTATATACAATGGTAAGTGAGTATCTCAATTTGTTTTATGATTATTTCTATCAAAAATAATTTAAGATTAGAAAAAAATAAAAATTGCTGCTACTCTACACAATTTATGTGCAGTTAAGTTGAAAAATACACGAAAAACATTTATAATTTCGTATAATATTAAAATGTTACGCATTGATCCTGTCCAACAATGAACGGGAACAATAACCACAATAGGTATAGGTAACAATGACACTATGCCAAACATACGAGATGCCAATTTTATATTCTGCCAATGCAACGACACAAGTGCACAAATGTAGTTCTTTTATTTTAAATCTTAAAGTATTGACATAAAGTGTAATTTCATTATGTGTTGAGATGGTTTGAAGTCTTACTGGAAATATGGCAACAGTATTGTTGTCTAGCAAAGTAGTATTGTTACAAATAAAAGAGTAGCTAAGGATGGGCGCATTGTTGGCCATTGTGGCGGGTGTGCGTGCACAATGCGCTGATCACGTTTAGAAATTTTTGGACAATTTCTAGCAGTTTTTGCAACGGGTTGCACCTTGAGATGCAGGGTCGTATTTAGGTAATAAGATTATTATTGTGGCCATTTAATAAAACAAAAAATAGCAATTTTTTTTAAGTATAGTATATACCAATGAAAAATATTCAAGGTTTACTCTGTAATAATATGTAGTCCAAATCTATGACCTATTCCGAAAAGAGAATGAGCTATATTTAATGTTTTTAATTGAATCACTTCTTACGACACTCACAGAAAAGGAAGGGGGTGACCCATACTTTGTCGGGAACTCGGCGAACTGTTGCTGTTGTGGTGAACGTAAATCTCGACTATTTGATGTGGTCAAATCCTATTAGAAACCAAAATGGTGAGGTTTAATTGACTATGTGTACTGAGTAACATAAAATAAATTTCGAATACGTCCCTGTCCAAATTAGTACCAGTAACAGGGTGGTATATTTTTCTGAAACTACTTGTCGTGCGACAATGGAGCGATTCGAGCGAAACGCCGCCTCGGCCGCCAACTCAACGGGACGAAATGGGGGCAGACATGCGCAAAATGTGGGCCCGAATGGACATTAGTCGCACAATGGTTGTGACTTTCGCAAAAAACTTCATTTTGTTCAAATTTATTAATGAAATTATCTTCATTAATGTTTCAACTGTTAATTTTCTAATGCTGTACAAACACACTGTTTAATTCAATATATTTTTCCAGGGGTCGGCAACCTGCGGCTCGCAAGCCACATGCGACTCTTTGTATGCGAAGCTCTAGTTCTTTAGTTCCATACGCAATTATTATTTATTTTATAAAAAAATATATATATTTCTGAATCGATTAACATGGATTAGGCATCAAACTTTATTTATGCAAGTTTTTTTTTATACAATTTAGAATGGCAATCAAGCTAACGGCCCACCTGATGGAAGGTAGTAACCGTCGCCTATAAACATGAGCAGTACCATGGACATAACAGGGTATACTGTTTCACCCATGATACCCCCATGCGTTGCCATTCCTGAGGACTCAGGTGTTATTCCTCTGTACCCAGTAAATTCACGCCATATCCCACCCTGTATGCAAGTACTATTTATGGTTGGCAAGAAAAAATATCGTGGCTCGTTACAAATTTTTAAATTTTGAAAATTGTAATTTTTTACTCTTCCGACTCAAAAGGTTGCCGACCCCTGGATTACCCTCATAAGGAATGGTCGTGAGCCACCTGCATCCCGCAACACATGTTGAGGTTGTTTCCAGGGACAACCGCTTGGAGGTCAATCTGCTAGGATATTTGTTAGGTTTGAGGTTGTTACTTCACCTAATATTTTTTTTTATAACACAGGGGGCAAACAAGCATGCAGCTCACCTGATGGTAAGCTGCATGCTTGTTTGCATGGTGCAAGTTTGTTTGCAAGATGGTAACTACCGCCGCCCATGATCACCCATAATACCAATGGCATTGCAGGTGTGCTGCCGGCCTTTCAAAAAGGAATATGCTCTTTTCTTGAAGGTTATGTTGTCGTATCGGTTCAGAAAAACTGCTGCTGGAAGTTGATAATTACACTTTCCATTTCATGTTATATAAAAAAAATTGGAGGCTCTCCCTACGCCGCATTTGTCTATACGTGGTTGCCAGTTGAGAACTTATTTTGTTCAGTCGTCGATTCTCCCAGACATAAAGCCAACTCTTTACCTACGGAGGGAAAGGGATTTTTAAATCCCATTTGCTATTAGATCCCATTCTCTCTCTTCAGTCGTACACTCTTGACAGAGTGGTCGTGGTTTTTATGATGATAGTGGATCGTCGACGAGGCCCTCCTTCGCGATCGAGGTCCTCGTAATGCGTCTCCATCTACTTCTGCTCACAGCCGAACGGGAACATTCCACAATAGACTGCTGTGTGGCCGTTTTGATGAGGTCAGTCCATCGCGTTGGTGATCTACCGCGAGATCCCATGACGTCCACTTAAATAGTACCTTCTCCATCCTATGTATACCAAATTTTGTAACGATTGTTTGAACCATTAAGATCCCAAGGGGAAACAAATGGAGAGAAAGGGATTGTTAGTAATGGGGTCTGACAGCTCCATTATAAGCCGTGCCAGTATGTGTTTTTTACAAAGTTGTACAATATAAGAGAATAAAGACAAAAATTGTTATAAATTATTATTATATCAGTAAAAAATATATAAAATCACTCGCCAATTTATAAATTTAGCCTCATTTTATCTTTAATTACAAAATAATCAACAATAACCACAAGACTCGATTCTAGCGCCACCTAGTATTTCGTGTCCAATTTTGTTCAGTGACCAACCACTTTAATAACTGTAAATTATCATTTAATGGTAATTCTATTTAAAAATTAAATCAATAGCATTACAATAAATAGATTACTATAGTTACAATAATTTCATTATTACAATTATGACAATAAGATGCGTAATTTTTACACATTCCACAATACATTCTCAACTGACTGTCTGTGAAATGAATTGGAAATGGTTGGTCTGAACATGGAGTCATGTGTACGGCTTCAGGGCACGGGGTGGTCCAAGTGATAATATATTTTTTATCATTTTGCATACAGCCATTTTTTTTACATAAATATAAATGGAATTTTGACGCCGCCTGCGCTAGGATAAGGTCATATCAGTTAGAAATATCTTGAAATAATAAATGTACGATGGCGTAATGCGACTATTTATATGGGGCGAAGAAACAGTTCGCTTTTAACTTGTTCCATGTGTTTTACAAAGTATGAGGTAATGTGTAATTTTCACATTTAAAGCACAATAGACCGCTGCTGATAACTGTTCGACCATATGTCTCTTATTGTCTCTGTAATTCCCCCTTCAGGCTACTTCTGTTGGTATATTGTGAATGTTAAGATTGGTAAAGTTTTTTCTCTATAACTACTTTAATTGTATTTAAATATAACAATAGTATAAATATCATTATTATATTTTCTTACTTCTTTTTTGTACATTTTACTGCGACGCTCATGTTGCTTTTTGTGTTTATAAATAACATTTAACGGTTACAGTAATAGAGATGTTGCCTCTATTATTTGCAATATATCTTATCGGGTCGACTTCCACGCATTTCTCTCTGGAAACTATCGTAGTGAATTCTTAATGAAATTGTTACGATGTGACTGAACAGAGGGCCTACCATGAAATAATTTCCGAAATTCCGGGGACGAACGAAACAGAAATTTGATGTTAATATTACATAATACATGCCGTTTAAAATTATTAAATATGTTGACATATTGTTCCTTTGGACTATTAGTATAGGATATATATATATATATATATATATATATATATATATATATATATATATATATATATATATATATATATATATATATATATATATATATATATATATTACAAATTATTTATATAACCATCAATTCTAATCAATAACACATACAATACCAAGGCTTAAGTCATTATATTATTACCACTGTCTGAAACATATATTACTATCATCCGTGAAGCTATAAAAACAAAAATGTGCACCGTTCAAAGGACACTGTCGTAAAAATGATAAAAATTCTTAACAAATCGTCGTTTTTCCATACGGTGTGACCTCGAGCCGGCGTACGGATTTACTTTATAAATAACCCACAAATGAGTATCGTTGGCCTCCGCGGCTAATCCTGATTTACAGAGGTACCTGGGGTGCTGTGCTGTGCTACAGGGATGTCCATATTGTACGTGTTGAACCGATAGATATACACCGACTGTATGGATAACATGCTGTGGTTGTAATTTCAAATTATGCATGCGACTAGGTTTTCTTCTGATTACGTTTACTCAGGTTCTTAATGTTAAAATACTATGTATATATGCTAATTCTTACGATAATTAATAGAGTCATTAAGGTATAAAGATAGTTTCATTCAAGCTCAGTTCCATGTCTAATTTAGTTTTCCCTTAACATAGTGGTGATTTTTTTATATACAATTTAGAATGGCAAACAAGCTGACCCACCTGATAGAAAGTGGTAACCGTCGCCTATAGACATGTGCAATACCATGGACATAACAGAGTATACTGTTTTGCCTAAGATACCCCTCATGCATTGCCATTCCTGAGGACTCAAGTGTTATTCCTCTGTACCCTGTAAATTCACTGCCATATCTCACCTTTCAAACCGAAATATAGCTATGCAAACACAACTACTTCACGGTTGAAACACGAATGACACAGAGGTACGCAAGCAAACGACTTTTGTACAAAGTCTCCCTCTAGTTTAAAGTTTACTGCTGTTTGCAACTTGCTTAACTAGGAAATTTGTTCTACTACTTCATTTTGCCCGTGTGGTTCCGGCAAAGAATAGGCCTTCCTTTCTCGTGGGTGTCGTAAGAGGCGACTAAGGGAGGGCGAGGGATAGGCAGAAGCGTCCCTCTTAAAACATCTCTAAAGGTGCGGTTGGCAATCCACCTGCCAAGCATGGCAACTACTGGTAAAACTCCCTTAAGGAAAGGCTTATGTTCAGCAGTGCACACTTAAAACCTCATATGATGATGATGACCTCATCTTGACTAATTCAGTAATTAATTTAAACTTATCTTCGCTCCCATCCCTGCCTGTACCGACGTCTTCACACGCTCTACGTGCATCACACCGTGTGAGGCAAGACACTGTGATGCAAAGAACTATACGCCCCCTGAACAAAACTTCCAGATGAAGTGATGAAGAAATAATTGAAGGAATGACAAACAAATATTCGAATGTAACATATATAAAATAGAAAGGAAAACTTTAACAGAAATATAATTGGTAATTAATACTCCTTTCCACTCAGGATTTGCTGGAAGAGAACTTTTACAGAGTTAAACTTGACTGTTGTATATATATATATATATATATATATATATATATATATAATATGTTTGTAATGTTTTGTGTACAATAAAGTATAAATATATAATTTAAACACAACATATTGGTTAACATATTTTGTTTTTAATTATACCCACAGATTCACATTCAAAAATTGCAAAATCTTTAATTTCTGTGTTACTATGACAAAGATTCCCTTCGTCTTGGCATGTAAAATAACTAAGTAGATAAAGGTCAAGGCATTAATAATATAATGTATGATCTTTATACGATAAAAGGCCCTTAAAAAGATTAATAAATACATATGTTTCATTTTGCATAATTATTAATAAATAATGACAAATACAAATTATTTCTATTATTTCGTAGATCACAAATTAAATTCAAAGCACTTTTAAATCTTTATTTTTTAAAATCTAATGCAGGGTTCGTAAAGTTGTTATCTGTTGAGAAGAGCCTGTAAGAAACTCAACAATTACTCTTTTAAATCTCTGTTAGCGTTATGTGTATTTATTTAAATGTTCTATGTTTAAAATTACATGGTCATTAAAGCCCGTGCATGATCGACTAAAACACTAATCCAAATCAAACTTACTGGTGTGCACTATGCTTTAAAACTAATAAATTTTCCAATGTGAAACTGTCCTTAACATTAGCGGATTATAGTTCACGTTTATAGAATTAAATTTCAATTTATAAAGGAGTGTATACATTATCATAATGCCACAGTTCATTTTATCAAAATACGCTGAGAATATAAATGATTTATTGAAATTTTAAGATATACAATTTTTGAAAGCTTGATCTATTTTTACAATAAATAAAGTAAAGGCCAAAGAGGACTTTCAATGATTTTTTTATACAACTTAGAATGGCAAACAAGCTGACGGCCCACCTGATGGAAAGGGGTAACCGTCGCCTATAGACATGAGCAGTACCATGAACATAACAAAGTATACTGTTTCGCCCATGATACCCCCCATGCGTTGCCATTCCTGAGAACTCAGGTGTTATTCCTCAGTACCAAGTAAATTCACGCCATATCCCACCCTTCAAACCGAAACACAGCCATGCAAACACAACTGTTTCACGGTTGAAACACGAATGGGACAGAGGTACCCGAGCAATCGACTTTTGTACAAAGTCTCCCTCTGGTTTACTCTTATTGTGTTTTTATACTTCAATTCTTAACCGATTTTAATAATTCATTTGCAATCGACATGATTCTGGCCCGTGTTAGTTCCATATTAAATTTGTCAGGATTAAAGTTAATATATTTTTTTGTGGACAAAACCTACTTGTTGTCGTTCAGATCAATATTAATTGTAGGACAGTTTTTACTTTTTTTTTTAATAATGTACCTGCTAGTTATTATTTCTCGTAAGTATCATAAGAGGCGACTAAGAAAATTTAATGGTCGAGAAATCGGCAACAGCGTCCCTCTTAAAACATCACCAAAACCTAACTGCGGTTGCCAACCCGCCTGCTAAGCGTAGCAACTACTGGCAAAATCCTTTTGCGGTGGCATATCTACAGCAGTGGACAGTAAATGGTTGATAGGGCGACCCCATATGGGCAAACACAGTGTAGGACGACCTCCCGCTGAATAGAGTAACGACCTCAAAGACATTGCAGGAAATCAATGGATGCTGACGGCTCAGGCACTTCTTTTGTCATATACATTTTTATGGCAGTCTATGGGGGAGGACTATGTTCAGCAGTGGACAGACAACGGCTGATATGATGATGAAGATGGTGATGAACTATTATTCATTTTTTTATCATTCATTTGCTTATAACATTACACAGTTTATATCTTCTGTTACTTCTGTCCACAGTCTGATACATAACGCTCCGAAACGATATCGTGTCCAATTTTTTTCATAATTTATCTAAGTGTATTAAAGTTCAACAAATAAATTATATAAATAAAACACTATCAATCAATTTTCTGTATAACATAATATCATTTCATATATCAAGTCGAGCGACTGTCCGATCGTTTAAAAACGCCAAGATCTAGTCCTTAAGTCCCCATTACGACGGGATCGTGTGTCCTCTGAAATTGTTATTGATTGTCCTTTGTAATGTAGAGGACGGCCGGCCCGTAACTCAGGATTTCGTCGCGCTGTTTGGACCCATCCAGCGAACCGTGAAGGTGTGACGTATTGGTATGATCGCGCAATTGTAATGTACGATTTGTGGCCGTTGTTGTGTTTTGATTGCGATCGCTCTTGTTATTTATCGAGTGGTCGTGTTATGGCGTGCGCTTTTTAGTTCGCGTTCTCAGAGTATCGTCTTTCAATAGCATTACTTCAATACTATACCATACCTTCATCATCATTTCAGCCATTATCCGTCCACTGCTGGACATAGGCCTCCCTTATAGACTGCAATAAGGAACATTCCTGGGCCTCTAGACAAAATAATAAATGGCAAACGAATCCGTCGATGGAATGGACATAGCTAGCCATGACATTTTTTTGATGGGTAAAAATGGTATGGTAACCCCGCCTGCGCTAACGGGATACGCTGGCGGAGCACCAGTGAAGGGTGATAGGTGAGAATGAAAACAGGCCAGTTAGCCCATCATGATGAATTCATCAGGAATTAACCATGATAGTTTCCAGGGGGAACCGCGAGTAGGTCGACCTGGTTGGGTATATTGCTAGCAATGGGATTCTCAGTCTCCATAACTAACAATCCCTTTCCCCTCGCTAGCCATGAGTTGACATCCGACATTGCTATCTCATTCTATCTCACGGACTCGATAGCGATGTCGATTCCATGTATGAATTCTCTTGCTACTTGTCTAGAGGGCCTGAGTCACCTGCTTCCACTGACTCCCTGCAATGCATTTGAGGTCGTCACTCCTACATGTCTTGTCCTACACTGCGTCTGCCCGGGGTTGCCACTCAAGAACCTTTCTTCCTTATCGGTTGTCTGTTCTTTGAGCTATGTGACCAGCCCATTGCTACTTAAGCTTGCTGATATTATAATTATCTTAAAATCTGGTATGGTAGATTTAAAAAAAAAAAAACTATATTTTTTCTTTCACTAAAAAGGAAATAAAACATAATAATAAAATCTTTCTTACAATTGCAACTTCTAAAAATGTATTCCCAACCGGTCACATTTTCTCATGACCGCAGCAATATTTCTCAATTAATTATACATTCATGCACAATGTAAACATGATGTATTGTCCATAAGTGGGGTGTCTATGGCCCTGCGCGGTATTTTGTCTATGGCATCTTGAATTGAAATAGTGCCCACCGTGCAAACTATTTTATAATACACCTAATTATGCTTTATGCTAATTTTATGACTGAAATATGTTTTTTTTTTTATTATAAAAGGGTGTATAATTTTAATGTTACGTCCATTTCGGGAGTGTATGGGACTTTTAATGTGTCAGTTTGATGGGTTTAGAGAGGATTATTCTTGTTGCTGACTATATTTCGTAGTGAAGAGATTATAGTAACATTTGTTGAGAGATTATTTTTGTTATGGTATTTTTATTGTGAAAACAAAATAAAGTGTTCTGTGGTAATGAAGTAATTTCAAACATGAATTGTCACTTTATTACATATTAGTTACCCGGCTTTGTGTAGGTAAATAGATTTTTTTTTAATAATATATAGCCTATGTTAGTCGTTGGCCGTGTGGTCCCGGCATAGAATAGGTCACCCCTTCCATTCCCGTGGGGGTCGTAAAATGCAACTAAAAGAGTGCGAGCAGCGTTCGTCTTAAAACATCTCTAATAACTAGCCGCAGTTGTCAATTCGCCTGTCAAGCGTGGCAACGACTGACAAAATCTCCCAAGAGGGAAGCTTATTTTCAGCAGTGGACAGTTAAAGTC